TTGCAGCGAGTCAGAGTCAGAGTCTCTCTGCTTTTCATCTGAAGCTCTGACTGACTGAAACCTCTCTCTCTTATTCATAATGAAAGTGATGAGACGCCTCCATGTTCACGCTGTTAGCATCTCACCTATCATCTCTTCTGTTTCATGTCTTCACTGAAACTCTGGAGCTTCAAACAGATTCTCTAACGACACAGAAGTACATGTCCTCACGTACCTCTGGAGGTGTTGAGCTGTACAGATAGCCTCTCAAGTTCTTTAGGGTTCAGCCTGTTTTCAGTGTGAAGAGCTTCATGCTAACTTCTCCCTCAGGAACAAAGAAAGCAATAATATCTGCTTATTTATCTCCGTTTTCCCGTCCAGATCACTGGGAATGGCATCAACATTTCACATAATACATCCAATTACACTTTCACTTGTTATGTTTCAATAAATGACACTTATACTCAGCATCATGGGAACCAAACAGGTCTTGCTTTTAGCTGAAGAAGTAGTTCCTCCAGATTATCCAGAGTAACTGAACACTGTCTTTGCGTTGAGATGCTTTATTTAATTCCATTTCATTGGAGGAAACAAGCTTATACAAACTGCCCTGTATGCTGTAAGCACCTGAGGATTACGCTATTGAATTTAGGCTGAGGAAAAAGACATATTGCGCGGGCAGAAGAAGTTTGCTTTCTCTTCTGCTGCTCCAAAAATAAGTAAAAGAATAATGAAATCAAGGTGTTTTCACTTGAAATAAGTCCAAAAATCTGCCAATAGAACAAGTGAACATTTGCTTTGTAAGATTTCTTGAAGTAAGAAGTGATATTTAGATAAATCACATCTTGTAATTATCAGGAGAACTCATTGTGAACTATATTTCACCAGAATCAGGACATGATGTTGTTACAGAATAAGCCACAAATACTCAAAAGTGTTCTGTTTCCTGACGTTGGTGATTTCCTAATAAATAAATATGTGTTTCATCTGAGATACAACTCAAAAGAAGATGTTTTGACTCAACAAGATGATGCATTGTCTAAAAATAAGAGCTGATATCTCACTGCAATGTTACTCCTGAAGTTAGTGTGTCTTATATCAGGAGCAGAGACATATTCTATAGATATTAGACACAGATACTTGGCAAGATTTCTAGTTTGTGTAGTGTAGAAAAAGAGCCGGGTAACGATGGGAGTAGAGAGGGATGTGAGAGAGCAGAAGGGCAGTGAGTGTTTCCTGAAGGTTAAGACGGGGGGGAACACTCGCCCTGACAGAGGAGAGAAGTTCATCCAACAATCAGACCCTCCAGAGGGAGAGTCTGCACACAGTCACACTGATGAGAGACAGCAGGAAGTGTAATTACAGACTGCAGAGCCTCGGGGCTTCTTCCTCCTCTGTTTCGTTCAATAACACACCAAGGATGGAGTAGTGAAACTCAGAAACATCAGTTTTATCTGGGGAGAATACCTGTACATGTATGCAGAGGAGAAGGTGTTAATATTTACTTTAAACTGTAATGAATGTACATCTTATACGACAACATACACACCTTTTCAAATACCTACAAATCTCTAATTCTCAACTTCCTGTGAACACAATAAGTACACATCATCCTGTGTGTGTGTGTGTGTGTGTGTGTGTGTGTGTGTGTGTGTGTGTGTGTGTGTGTGTGTGTGTGTGTGTGTGTGTGTGTGTGTGTGTGTGTGTGTGTGGTGTGTGTGTGTGTGTGTGTGTGTGTGTGTGGTGTGTGTGTGTGTGTGTGTGTGTGTGTGGTGTGTGTGTGGTGTGTGTGTGTGTGTGTGTGTGTGTGTGTGTGTGTGTGTGTGTGGTGTGTGTGTGGTGATCAGACTCTCCAATAATACTTTTAAACTGCGATATGTATTGAAAAAAACTGGAATAATTGCAGTAAATTCGAACGAAAGGTTGCATTTTTAAAGTTAAAGGGGACCTATCATGCAAAATGCACTTGTGTACGTCTTTTCTACATGAATATGTGTCCCCGGTGTTCCAGGGAACTCACCAAGTGTCAGAAAACACAACCCTCTCTATTTTCCTCCATACCCAAATCTCTAAAAAAGGGGCTGCAACGGATCTGATAAAAACTGATCCAGATTTGAACACTGTCCTGACGTCAGGACGGTGGCGCTACGGCTATTGGGCCAACTCCACCAATCAGGAGGAGACAGCCACGGCCATTGGAGCCGCTGTAGTACATATGCCAGGCCTGTAGGTGGTGCTGTTCTCACAGAATCAACCCAGAGCTAATCCAGGGCTAAAAATTGTCAAATTGAGCAAAATGAGGCATGGCTAAAATGCATGATCTGTTTGGTATTTTGAAAAAAATATATATAAATATGCCTTATATAGGTATGGGCCTACACTATATTATTCAAATATAGCATGATAGGTCCACTTTAAATGAGCAGATCTGTTGCTTTTTTAGATCAAAATTAAGACATTTATTGGGAACCATAAAGATCATCTTATCTTATTATCTTAACAAGTTTGACTAAGAGGAAAGAAAAGGACATTTCAGATGCAGCAAATCAGAAGAGAGTCTCACTGCAACTGCATTTCTCCTGAAGCTCAGACTTTATTAACTGAGCAGCAGAACCTCTTATTAATAATGAAAGTGATGAGAAAGTGTATTTCCCTCTCCAGCAGAGAAATGGAGAGACGTCCCTCCGGTCACAACGCTCGTTAATTAAAGCCTCAACGGCAGTTTCTCCTCCCTGCGTATCATCTCGCCTGTGCCTCTTTCTCTAATTGTCCTGCCACGGCTTAAAAAGGAGATTTGACTGTATGTTACTCTCACATGCACTCACGAACACGAACCATCTAATACCGTGTTTATTACTGAGGTATAAGTGGTTTTTCTGAGATAAATCATCATTTTGTGCCCGTTATTTTCAGACATTGGATATTTTGTGTTTGTGATGGATTCAATCGAATATAGAGAAAATTATTTATGTTAAAATGTTTTACTTGTAGGTGCTCTGAATATCAGAAAATCCTCTAAATACATCTACAGCGCTGTAAAAACACTGACATTGTGATGAAATAACAGCAATGACATGAATGTGTGTCCTCCTGTTGTCTCCAGTGGCCTCTGGTGCCGGAGATCCATCTTCATCTGAGTTTTGACAGCTTTGAGTTTGACAGCTTTGTACGAGGTTGACGTAGCGTCGTGTAACAGAAATACGTTTCTGATGCTATCGCTTTCTGTCAGTGTTTCATGCAGAGAAGGACAGGAGCCTCAGTGTCATCTATACTTTATTAAAAGAGAGAGAAACAGATACAAATAAAGTGTAAGGACAGTCTGACAGCTGATTGGACGACTTGCTTTACTTCATCTTGTAAAATACTAGTATATGTTCTGCATTCAAAATGTTATTTGAGTAAAAGTAAGAAAGGATTAGCATAAAAATATACTTAAAGTACTTTTTCTAATTAATTATCCATTAAAGTATACTCACATTTTACATTTTGCAGTTGGTTAAAAAGGTGCAAAATACTGGCTTAGTTGAATACTCGCTTCTGATTGGTCAATTTGGACAATCCACATTCTGTTAATTTCAGCTAACAGACCGTTGCTAAGGAGAACAGACTGTTGCTAAGGAGAAGGGACTATGCTATAATTCATCTTTCTAAGTAATAATACCGCAGTGTAGAAATACAAGTAAAAGTCCTGCATTCAAAATGTTAAGAAAGCATTAGCACCATAATATACTAATGTCTATTGCTGGATTCTAATTAATTATCCATTCATGTAAACTCACATTTTTCATTTTGCAGTTGGTTCAAAAGGTGCAAAATACTCCCATATATCGTATTCCTTATTATTACACGGCTTAGTTTAACACTTGATTCTGATTGGTCAGTTTTGGACATTCCAGAGGTCTGTTAATTTTTTATAACAAACCGTTGCTAAGGAGAACAGACTGTTGCTAAGGTGGATCAAGGGACTATGCTATAATTCATCTTTCTAAGTAATAATACTGCAATGTAGAAATACTAGTATAAGTCCTGCATTCAAAATGTTACTTAAAAGTAAGAGAGCATTAGCATCATAATAAACTAAAGGTACTTGTTATACAGGATGTCTATATTTTGGATTAATATTTTTCTATAGCTGGATTATAATCAATGATCCTAAATAATAATTTAGATTTTGCAGCTGGTAAAGCTGGAGCTAACTCTTAAGACTTTGTTTTTACCTCCATTTATTTTATTCCTTAAAATTACACGGCTTAGTTGAATACTCGCTTCTGATTGGTCAGTTTTGGACATTCCAGAGGTCTGTTCATTTTTGATAACAGACCGTTGCTAAGGAGAACAGGCCGTTGCTAAGGGACTATGTGCAGCCATATCAATCCGCAGAAAGAAGTCCGGTTAATTTAACGTCAGGTTTAAACGACAAATATTGGTTTTAATCCGTCAGAAAACACAGTGGAATACTTTTTGATTATATTTTTTCATTAATGACCGCCTTGATGCACGTTATATTTTACATAATAATCTGTTATAATTCACTTTTATGAATAATATAACCTTGCAAAGTAACTAATCTTGTCAATTAAATGCAGAAAAGTCAAATGTTTGGGTGAAATAGAAGTTTAAAGTAGAATAAAATGGAAATACTGGAGTAAAGATCCTGTAAAACCTAATCTACTTTCCCCCCCTGAGGTAGAGTGATCAGTTTCAGCTTCCTGCCTCCTGGCTGCCTTTTGTTTGGTCCCATTGCTTCTGGTCCTTTGCATCTGAAGAGAAACAAAGGATAAGGAGGGCCTTCTTCCTCTCCTTTCCTCACAGAGACCCTCCTCTTCATCACGCCTCATCTCCTTAAAACACAAGCACTAACTCTGCAGGAATGCATGGAGTCAAAAAGGAGAATAAACCAGTAGCACAGACACACTGGGATACACTGGTCCTGGGTCTTTAACCAGTGACCTGAGGGAGAAACATCACGGGGTTAAAGAAAGATGATGGGAGAACATCAGGAGACTGCACTGACTCTGGGGTTCTCACAGTATTCCACTTATAAATGAATAATTAAGCATTTTATGAAGCATGCTGAGGACCAATCGCTTTCTAATTGCGACTTTCATGAGATTTCTATATCACTCTTTGGTAAAAAATGCATCCATCATATAGTTAGCTTAGCTTAGCATTAAGGCTGGAGGCTCCTCCAGCAGAGCAACATGAATAGGACATTGAACAAATAAAACAGAAATAGTGCAAGAAGAGTCTATATACAAGTAAATGGAATATGATATATTAGATAAATAGTTAGCAAGATGCAAACGGATGAATGTTTGTGGATGTTCTTTCAAAAGTTCAGGTGTTCAAGCAGCTGCAGCCTGATGTGATGTGTCTCCTGTTCGTCTCTTGGTCCCAGGGTTAGGTCCATAGCTATTACCTACCTGTAAGACAGGGGTGTCAAACTCAATTTCATCACGGGCCACATCAGCATTATGGTTGCACTCAAAGGGCCGGTTGTAACTTTAAGACTATATCATTAATTAATATAACTTCATAATTAACTACGTCTGAAAGCAGAAGTCTAGAGCAAATAATTGCAAGTCTCTTCAGTGAGAATGTCACAATATGATTTTAAAAGAAAAGCCACATTCTGGAAAAACATTGATTGTGACATTTTGAAAAAAAAATCTATTTATGAGAAAAAGGCTAATTCTAAGAAAAAAGGCATATTTGGACAAAAAAAGTCAAATTCTGAGAAAAAGTCAAATTTGAGATGCATTGTGGGACATGTAGTTTATGGGCAACGTGCTTCTGTAAAGTAGCATGTAACCGGATAATAAACATATTCTTTGCAAGCTCTTGTGGGGCCACATAAAATGAAGTCGCGGGCCGGATTTGGCCCCCGGGCCTTGAGTTTGACACCCCTGCTGTAAGAGCAGCTCCAGCCTGATGTGATGTGTCTCCTGTTCGTCTCTTGGTCCCAGGGTTAGGTCCATAGCTATTACCTGTGAGAGCAGCTGCAGCCTGATGTTATGTTGTATATGTTCTCTCTCTTGTTCCCAGGCTCCTGTCCTCCAGGTTTCTTTCTGTGTGAAAATGGCGGTTGCTTCTCTACGGCTCAGAGCTGTGATTTCACGGATGATTGTGGCGACGGCTCTGATGAAATGCATTGTGGGACTTCCTGCACCTTTGAGCACGGACGCTGTGGCTGGAAGAGCTCCGTGGCCGACAATTTTGATTGGACGCTGGGGAGGGGGTCTTTGAAAAGCATCCGGCCGCCGAACGATCACACGCTGAGCGACGAACGAGGTGCCGGTTTATTTTTTTTATTTTTTATTTTTTATTTGCGTACCATCAAACCATACAAGTATGCACTTAAACACAACATTTAAAAACGAGGAATTTATATTTATTCAAATGGAATTACCCAGGGTTCCTCTGGAAAGTACTCAACCAATTGTACTCATACGGCAATACAGTTAAACATAAATACAAGTGTGTGTGTGTGTGTGTGTGTGTGTGTGTGTGTGTGTGTGTGTGTGTGTGTGTGTGTGTGTGTGTGTGTGTGTGTGTGTGTGTGTGTGTGTGTGTGTGTGTGTGTGTGTGTGTGTGTGTGTGTGTGTGTGTGTGTGTGTGTGTGTGTGTGTTTAAAAAGTGACAACGTTATCAACACAACTGAGCTTACATTAAAATTATAATACATGTCAATAACAAGTAGCTAGCTTGTTCAATTATTCTTATTCAACTCATATAACACCAGTAGTACACCCTAATTATGCCCATACTACACCAGTATCATACTGTTATTATACCCGTAATTACACTGTTATTAGACCCATATCACACTGTTATTATACCTATAATTACACTGTTATTATACCCATATTACACTGTTATCAGACCCATATTACACTGTTATCAGACCCGTAATTACACTGTTATTAGAACTATAATTACACTGTTATAAGAACCATAATCACACTGTTATTAGACCTATATTACACTGTAATCATGCCCATATTAAAGCATTATTACGCTGTTATTAGACCCATGTTACACCAATATTTCCCCCATAATACACCGTAATTAAACTGTTATTACACCCTAAGTAACACATGTTAACCAGCTCCATAAGAAGTCGCTAGCTAGTTCCCTTAGTTGTTAATATCATTATCATAAGTTCCCTTCTATGGTCCGTCTTGTGACGTTGATTTAAGATATATATTTGTTAAATAAGCTGTAAAATAAGCCTTATGTTACCTTTATAAACAATTTACCAATGTTGACGTCATGTAGGCTAATGTTAGCAAGTGTAAATAAGGCTAACAAACGTCAGGTTTAACATTTCCAAACTACAGATATTAATGTTAAAGAGACACAATAAATACAATACATGTCTTTGCTAAACAGCAGGACAATTAAATTCATATTTTAAATTACCTGAATGTAATCAGCGAGAGAACTAGGTCCTCTCTGTTGCAGGAAATACATCTCGCTTGGATAACCAACTAAAACGCATATTTCTTATTAAACCATCAAATAATCCAACATTTTAACACTTTCTTATATCCTCATAATAAAGGAAGTTCATTTCTCTTCTCCTCTTGGATCTTCCATCGAGTGCAGCTCCACTTCTTGGAGGTTTCGTACCCTCTCAGTAAATGAAACTGACTTTCAAATGTCCACCTGTTAGTGTGCTGTGCTCCATGTTTAATTCATGAGCCAATCAATGAGCTTCTCCCCGGCGTGTGAGAGCAGCTTCTCTCTCAGGTGATTGATGCCAGGGCTGAGAATCCATTATCCTGCGTGCATGGTAAAGAGCGCATGAATAAATAAACACGCATGTACATTTCTCTGAACGTATGCAGGTGTTTTATTGCTCTTATTGTGAGCTTCTTCAGGTCATTTCCTCTTCCTCTAACCCTCCTCATCATCCTCTCCTCTCTCTCAGGTCATTTCCTCTTCCTCTAACCCTCCTCATCATCCTCTCCTCTCTCTCAGGTCATTTCCTCTTCCTCTAACCCTCCTCATCATCCTCTCCTCTCTCTCAGGTCATTTCCTCTTCCTCTAACCCTCCTCATCATCCTCTCCTCTCTCTCAGGTCATTTCCTCTTCCTCTAACCCTCCTCATCATCCTCTCCTCTCTCTCAGGTCATTTCCTCTTCCTCTAACCCTCCTCATCATCCTCTCCTCTCTCTCAGGTCATTTCCTCTTCCTCTAACCCTCCTCATCATCCTCTCCTCTCTCTTCAGGTCATTTCCTCTTCCTCTAACCCTCCTCATCATCCTCTCCTCTCTCTTCAGGTCATTTCCTCTTCCTCTAACCCTCCTCATCATCCTCTCCTCTCTCTCAGGTCATTTCCTCTTCCTCTAACCCTCCTCATCATCCTCTCCTCTCTTCAGGTCATTCCTCTTCCTCTAACCCTCCTCATCATCCTCTCCTCTCTCTCAGGTCATTTCCTCTTCCTCTAACCCTCCTCATCATCCTCTCCTCTCTCTCAGGTCATTTCCTCTTCCTCTAACCCTCCTCATCATCCTCTCCTCTCTCTCAGGTCATTTCCTCTTCCTCCTCTAACCCTCCTCATCATCCTCTCCTCTCTCTTCAGGTCATTTCCTCTTCCTCTAACCCTCCTCATCATCCTCTCCTCTCTCTCAGGTCATTTCCTCTTCCTCTAACCCTCCTCATCATCCTCTCCTCTCTCTCAGGTCATTTCATCTACCTGGAGGCCACACCTGTCGGCCTGAAAGGAGACAAAGCTCACATCCGCAGCTCCGTTTGGAAACAGTCCGGCGCCATCTGCAAGCTCTCCTTCTGGTACTACATTTCCCACAAGGCACTGGGAACCATCTGCCTGCTGATCAAGGTAAAGTGTGTGTGTGTGTGTGTGTGTGTGTGTGTGTGTGTGTGTGTGTGTGTGTGTGTGTGTGTGTGTGTGTGTGTGTGTGTGTGTGTGTGTGTGTGTGTGTGTGTGTGTGTGTGTGTGTGTGTGTGTGTGTGTGTGGTGTGTGTGTGTGTGTGTGTGTGTGTGTGTGTGTGTGTGTGTGTGTGTGTGTGTGTGTGTGTGTGTGTGTGTGTGTGTGTGTGTGTGTGTGTGTGTGTGTGTGTGTGTGTGTGTGTGCGCTGCAGAGGCCGTTTTATGCGATTTACAAAACACAATTCAGCAAGTTATCATGCAAATGTGTGTGTGTGTGTTTTTCCCTTCAAACAGCGAGAGGTGGTTCCTCTTCCCTGCAGAGTCTGAATGTCATTATACTTACAAAATAGCACACTGTCTTATCCAGCAGCTAAGTCAAAGAAGAGGAAATATTACTCCTTCAGGAGGTAAAAGCTCCACCAGGGTTTACAACGGGCTTCAAAGGGTTTGTTTTTAATGATCAGCTGATGCAATTAACATGAAAACAAACCATGGATGGATTCGAGTTAACACCTTTGTTTTTATAGCTTCTTTCATGCAAGTAATAGACCAATAAAACCTCTTATATAAAAACAATAAGGTCAACAAATCCCCTGTAGTGTCAAAGCTGTAAATACAGTTTTATGATTTCTATTCTAAAGATATCCGTCTATAATTCAATGGAGTGTAAAATGTTGGAGAAAAGTACTGATACATTTTGGCTTTTCCAAATCCATCTAGAATCAGAATGCTGTTGTTAAGATGACTTGCAGGAATGCTCAGATGCTCGGGATAATCATCTGAATGGGTTTTTGATTTGAAGCAGAGCTGATGTCCTCGTACAGGTGGCCATGCTTGATGAATCAGAAGTGGATACAACTGTTGAAATTGGAGGTGAATTTGAAGCTCAAAGAAAAACCCAGTGAAGACTAATTGGATTTCCTCTCAGTGTAACATTCAGTATCTTCTTAAAACGCCAATAAAATAAGCGTATTGTTGTGATGGCAGCTTCCTTTAGTCTCTCACTGACTGGAGGATAATAAAAAGGAATCATGCAAACACATATCCACTGTTCACTCGGAGCAAACTGAATCTGTCGTTTCGTCGCCGTGTCGGCAGGAAACCGAGCTTCAAAATGATGGAATAAAGGGCGGATGATACACCGCTCGTATCACATGCTCTCCATGACATACATCCTGCTGCTTTTTAATCTCTGCTTCACTGTAACAAGATGATTTAAAGCCAGAGGACAGGGTGCGTTTAAATGGGCTTTAAATGCAGAGGAGGGTCTGACGTTTGCTCTGCTGTCAGGTTTATAGACAAATGGTGCAACTCAAGGACCGTACGTTTGTTTTCTTATGTCGTAGAAAACACCGTCAGACACTGTTGACCCGAGCCCTTCCTAAAGACAACACATGTTTACAGGACAGACAGAAGCTGTGTTTGGTTTTAAATATGTGTTTGTGTTTTTAAACACACCTTCAGACTGCAAGAATCATGCGGCAAATGGGCATCAGATGCCAACACGTTTTGAAAGACCCTTATACAGTAGTTTCTCTGTGAGAGCATGTGGAGTCTTGATCTTATTATTGTCAATCTGAAGGCGTGCTTATCAACAGAAGCCCTCGTGTGTTTGAACGGTAAGACGGTATGAAGAATACTTCCTAAATGACCCAAGAAAGTTTGACATTGACTTCCTGAGATAGATGTTCTTCATTACCCTCCTAAAGCTGGATTAATGAAGTGAAGTTATGGACTGCTGTCCTCTTTCTAAACGACCAGAGGACGAGCGGGTCATCATGAACACTGAGTCACACTTTATATTAGACTCATGAACTTCAGGGGGAACGTGGTGAAATCTGGAGGTCCTCTATTAAACACTCTGTGGGTTTGTGTGTGTGTGTGTGTGTGTGTGTGTGTGTGTGTGTGTGTGTGTGTGTGTGTGTGTGTGTGTGTGTGTGTGTGTGTGTGTGTGTGTGTGTGTGTGTGTGTGTGTGTGTGTGTGTGTGTGTGTGTGTGTGTGTGTGTGTGTGTGTGTGTGTGTGTGTGTGTGTGTGTGTGTGTGTGTGTGTGTGTGTGTGTGTGTGTGTGTGTGTGTGTGTGTGTGTGTGTGTGTGTGTGTGTGTGTGTGTGTGTGTGTGTGTGCACATTAATTCCAGCTGAAGATATACACCTTTAATATTGGTTTATGAATATCAAATGACTTCAACCCTTGGACAACAAGTGTGTGGAGTTAAAACCAGCTAGTGGGAACAATTCATAGTTTTTTCGTCTTTTCATGGGATTTGTTCAAATGAAAACATGGGAAAGCACATTTTAAACATTAATGTATACAGTTTCATACATGTCCCATGCTTTTGGATATCTAACTACTGTTCACTGGGACCAATGCTGAAGAGAGGGTCATCTTATTGTGTTTGCAAATCAATCTTTGATTCCCTTTTACCGTCTCTGAAACGTCTAAATCGTCTCAAATTCAACATATGGTGGTTTAATGGACGACAGTACCCTCTGCACCTTCGTTCAGATGTGAGAAAGGACATAAGGAACCAGTAAAAGTGGAATAAGTTGTTATGAATCATTCCCTGTCCTCTATCTGACCTAATGTGTTTGTGGACTATAAAAAGTACATTTAGAGAAGTTTAAATCTCTACAATCCTCCTCCAAAAACCCCAGACTCCACCTTTCCCTTTACAAGCCACTCTTCACCACTCCCTGTGAAGCCCCTCTTCCTGTAGGTGTGAGTGATATGACTTCAGATGTCTCATTCATGCTCAGAAAGCAACACACATCCACTGAAGCCCTGTTTGAAATGCTGGTTGTTCCAGCGCTGCGTTAGTGGTGATTTAGTGCTTGGCTTGCACCCTGGGAAAAAGACTCAGAGAGGAATACAGTCTGTCTGCTAATACGTTCCATATGTGGCATGAGAGGAAGCCGTTAGCATAGCATAGCATTGGTTCCTTCAATTATGCTAATGAGGTTTTAATGAGCGTGACTCGAATGTGTTTCTGATCATAACCCCTGCTGTATGAACTGATTACAGAAACATGTGGTCTTCCTCAGAGAGGCAACAGTACGTCCTTTACTCACGTAGAAGTACAGATACTCGTGTTTAAATATACTCTGGTGAAAGTAGAAGTACTGACTCAACTTCTTTACTCAAGTAAAAGTAAAGAGACTTTGAGATGTTGTGAAAGTTCAGGTATTTGTGTTCAACATGTAAGAAGTAGAAAGTACAGGTATTTGTGTTCAACATGTAAGAAGTAGAAAGTACAGGTATTTGTGTTCAACATGTAAGAAGTAGAAAGTACAGGTATTTGTGTTCAACATGTAAGAAGTAGAAAGTACAGGTATTTGTGTTCAACATGTAAGAAGTAGAAAGTACAGGTATTTGTGTTCAACATGTAAGAAGTAGAAAGTACAGGTATTTGAGTTCAACATGTAAGAAGTAGAAAGTACAGGTATTAGTGTTCAACATGTAAGAAGTAGAAAGTACAGGTATTTGTGTTCAACATGTAAGAAGTAGAAAGTACAGGTATTTGTGTTCAACATGTAAGAAGTAGAAAGTACAGGTATTTGTGTTCAACATGTAAGAAGTAGAAAGTACAGGTATTTGTGTTCAACATGTGAGAAGTAGAAAGTACAGGTATTTGAGTTCAACATGTAAGAAGTAGAAAGTACAGGTATTTGTGTTCAACATGTAAGAAGTAGAAAGTACAGGTATTTGTGTTCAACATGTAAGAAGTAGAAAGTACAGGTATTTGTGTTCAACATGTAAGAAGTAGAAAGTACAGGTATTTGTGTTCAACATGTAAGAAGTAGAAAGTACAGGTATTAGTGTTCAACATGTAAGAAGTAGAAAGTAAAAAGTCCTCAGAAAAATAAGTAGTGGAGTAAAGTACTGATACCAGAAACATGTACTTAAGTACAGGAACAAAGTATTTGTACTCCATTTCTTCTTCCCCTAACAGACGGAGAACGATCTGTGGGAGGCGTGGAACAAATCGGGGCATCAAGGGAACAAGTGGAACCGAGCTGAGGTTCCTCTGAGGAACCTGAGGAACTTCCAGGTGATTTTTGAAGGGATTCGATCCATGGACGTGATCGGAGGAGCTTCACTGGACGACCTGGAGTTTAGAAACTGTTCCCCAAGTAAGTGATGCTAACAACAGGTTGTGTTGTAGCTCCTCTCCTGTGACGTGTCTCCATGCTTCAATGTTCAAGATTCAAGATTCAAGATATGAATTGTCATATGCACAGTAAACAGACAGTGACACCGTACAATGTTCAGAAAGCTCTTTCTCTCATACTGCCTGTGCTGCAGCACCTCTTTTCACCCTCTGTCTGAAACCAGAGCCCAGCCTGCTCAGGGAGGCGTGTGGTGCAGTGGGTTGTGCGTTGGTTGGTGTTGGGAACAGGGGAGCTCAGGTTCAAACCCCACTGCAGTCAGCATGTCGTTGTGTCCCTGAGACACTTCACCCCAAAGTGCTCCTGTGGGGATTGTCCACAGTATTGAGTATGTAAGTCGCTTTGGATAAAAGCGACTAACAAGTGACATGTAATGTCATGTAATGCTCTGATTGGTTAGCTGGCCGGCTCTGTTGTGATTGGTCAACCAACTTACAGATGTCCCGCCCATTAGCCTATCACTTCAGGTGTGAGAGTGTCAGTAAAGTTGTGATTTTAGCCTTTGCAGACCATTTACATGCACAAAAACCTATAGAACTCAGAGAGGCAAAACGCCACCTTTAAATAGATTATTAGTGCACTTTTGCTTTAATATTCTTGCATTTTGCCAAGTTTTCACAGGAAACTCAGTATTCTTTATAGCCACGTTTAACTTTTCACAGTTAGATATAGACTGGTATAAAGTGCTGACTATCAAAACTGCAGTCAAATCACTTTCATGATTAATGTTGGCACTCTGCACAAAGCAGCCTGTACACATGCAGAGGTTTAAAGAGCGGTAACTACTCTCCCAGGTGTTTAGGGTCATTTCTGGCTTCACACAAACTTTCCACTCAATTTCTGCACGATAAAATGCTGCTCTGTGAACACACACATCTGTATCTCAGAAGGACAGAGGTTGTTGTTTCACACTTTGATATTCAGACGGGTGTCAGACATTAAACAGATCTGGATGTTTCCGTTGCTCTGCCAAGACTCAGATATAAACACACTAACACACAGAGACATGAACTCACTGATCAAAAGCAGGAGGAAGGAGATCTCGTGGAATATAATGTTCTTCTTCTGTGTACCCTCTTTGGAGCAGGACGATTTTAAATAACACACAGTTTGTACCACGTTTTATTTTCCATTGAAGCCGGATTTGATTCATCTGAACGGAAAGAGGAGATGGTTTCAGTCGAGTGGCTCGCTCTTAGAAAACACTTTCAACATGTGTGTGTGTGTGTGTGTGTGTGTGTGTGTGTGTGTGTGTGTGTGTGTGTGTGTGTGTGTGTGTGTGTGTGTGTGTGTGTGTGTGTGTGTGTGTGTGTGTGTGTGTGTGTGTGTGTGTGTGTGTGTGTGTGTGTGTGTGTGTGTGTGTGTGTGTGTGTGTGTGTGTGTGTGTTGTGTGTGTGTGTGTGTGTGTGTGTGTGTGTGTGTGTGTGTGTGTGTGTGTGTGTGTGTCAGACGCTGTGCAGCCCCCCAGTTGTCCTGCCCTCTCAGACTTTGTGTGTGACAGTGGACACTGCATCGAGTCTCACCTGGAGTGTGACAGCAAGGACGACTGTGCCGATGGATCGGATGAGAAACACTGCGGTGAGGAAGAACTGGAGATAGGTCTGGGACACATCGTTTTTAAATAAACAAGACGCTAACAAACCTCATTCTTGTGTTCCTCTCGTGTTGGTCTGACTAACTTTTAAACAAGAGAAAGAGAGCACAAACCTGTGTCTTTTAGAGTTGATTTAAAGTCCTTGTACTGGTTTATAAAGCTCTGAATGGTCTGGCCCCCTCTGTCCTCACTGATGTGTTGTCCTTTAATGTCCCTGTACCTTGTCCCTAAGATACTCAGCACACCTTCCAATTAACAACATCCCTCTCTAATTGGTCTTTTCATCTTGTATTTTCTTTACTTCAGGCGTCTGTGACTTCAGCATGGGAGCAGCGTGGTGGGAACACAGCTGTGGGTTGGACCAGGACTCTGAGGATGATTTTGATTGGTCGATCGGTCGTCACAGTGAGACTCCAGGAGCCGGACCTCAGAGTGACCACAGTCCAGGTGAGTGTACCTGAAAGACTCACAATGCAGGTGGTTCGAGGGCACAGTATGTTTTGATACATGCAGAGAATACAACCGTCAACACGCCTAACAGTATTTATAAGATGTTTTGATTGTATTGTATGCCAGATCTTAGTTATTATATATCCTCCTTGTTGTTGTGAACCAACGTCGAAAAAATCATCTTGTTTTTATGTTTCTGAGCTCACTCCTGATTGGCCGGTAGAGTTTGTTGATCTGAGCGATGAGACGTGTCACAGAACGAGTTTATGACCTCGGTGCAGAGCGAGTCGATAAAACCATCTGTAACACACACACACACACACACACACACACACACACACACACACACACACACACACACACACACACACACACACACACACACACACACACACACACACACACACACACACACACACACACACACACACACACACACACACACACACACACACACACACTTTAACTCATGTGGAAAACTCACGCTTTGTTCGGATGCTTTTCCATCTCCGAGCTGAAGCAGCTGCCGGCTGGAAATGCTTTTACAATCCGTCATGTTTTTCTGTTTGGTGCACGCAGTCGAGCTGGAACTCACTGGTTGCAGATTACACATGTTCTTTGAAATGCACTAACATTCTTCAAATCTCTCTCATTTTTGTCTACTGACATTTTTGTTGTTGTTTATATTCCCAGGTGGTGATGGGAGCTTCCTGTACATCCACTCAGCCTATCAGAGGGAAGGAGACGTTGCCAAGGTGACGACCAGCCGTCCGTTTCCCGCCAGCGTCGGATTGTGTCGTGTTCGATTCTGGTTCTTCATGCACGGATCAGACAGGATGGGAACGCTGAAGGTGATTGAAGGGTTAATAACTTCCTGTCTAAGCTTTGGACAGATGATATGAAGTCACCCTAAAAGCTCATTAAATGTACATGTCAATACGGTTATTTAAATCCTGCAAAATAGAGGCTTAACGAACTGGAGATGCTCCTAAAACCAGGAAATATTTGTCTTACTTAACTTAATACCAGGGGCCTCGTTTATGAAGCCTTGCGTAGGATTCACGTTGGAAGGTTGCTTACGTTGGACAAAGCAAATAAATACGTACAGACATTTTCCGATTCATAAAAGACTGCGTACCGGCGTAGGACGTGTGTACGGCACGTCCTACGCCGGTTTCCCTTTATAAATCAACTCGAAATGCGGCGCAGCTTTTGCGGGCTTCACGTCCAACATATTTGCCTATAAATAGTCAAAGAAACGCCCCGTATTAATATTCATTCTGACTGACTGCATGAAGAAGATCGCAGGAAATTACGATAAAACAGCTAAAAAAGACATCTCACACCGTGTCAGATTTAGGTTATTGTGGGGAGGTGGAGATAAATCATATTGTTTGGTGGATGCAGTTTGAACCAGAGTAGCAGCATGGAGGTCGGATCGTCACCTAAATAAATAAATAAGTGGTCCGAAAAAAGTTAATGACAAAAAAAATACACATAACCTTCCTCAGGCAGTGTGTTTGTCCCGGGGACAGGAGACCCCCCCCTTGATGAGAAACTGTAAGAAAGTATCGGGGGATCCCTGCGGAGTGGAGTCATGTCATGTTTATTTTTGTATATGAAGTCACCCTAAAAGCTCATTAAATGTACATGTCAATGCAGTCTGTAAAAGAGGCTTAACGAACTGGAGACGCTCCTAAAAACAAGTAAATATTAGTCATCCATTCCACCTCTTTTTTACCTTAACTTAATGCTTGCAGGTTTGTGGAAATACATATCACTCAAGTCTTATTTGTAATGGCAGGCGAGTAAAAGGGAAGTATAATTGGATATTAGATGAGAGAATACAGATGTCTGATGTGTGACAATCAATCGACATAATTATAAGTATTTTCTTATTGTGCTCATTGTTTGTTGTCTTAAAATTAACCCAGCCATCAAAGACGCCTAAAAAAAGCCCTGAGAAATGAGAGTGAAGTTTGAGATGCTTTCATGTCTTTGGGTTTCAGGTGAGAGACAGCAGGACGAGAGCTGAGTCACATTCCTGTCAAAGCTAATTAAGCCTTCAGGTTCTCTGTGACAGACAGAGGGACAGACAGACAGACAGACAGAGAGACAGACAGAGGGACAGACAGAGGGACAGACAGACAGACAGAGAGAGGGACAGAGGGACAGACAGACAGACAGAGAGAGGGACAGAGGGACAGACAGACAGACAGACAGACAGACAGACAGACAGACAGAGGGACAGACAGAGGGACAGACAGAGGGACAGACAGACAGACAGACAGACAGACAGACAGACAGACAGAGGGACAGACAGACAGACAGACAGAGGGACAGACAGACAGACAGGCAGAGGGACAGACAGACAGGCAGACAGACAGAGGGACAGAGGGACAGACAGAGGGACAGACAGGCAGACAGACAGACAGAGGGACAGACAGAGGGACAGACAGACAGACAGACAGACAGACAGACAGACAGAGGGACAGACAGAGGGACAGACAGACAGACAGACAGACAGACAGACAGACAGACAGACAGACAGACAGACAGACAGACAGACAGACAGACAGACAGACAGACAGACAGACAGACAGACAGACAGACAGACAAAATGTATTGATGAATTGATATACTTTTATTTTATGGATTTATTTCACCTCACCTAAACGTTATGTCTCCCTCCTCTCTCTCTCTCCAGGTCTTCACTTCTGGTCCCAGTGGCTCCAGCCTGCTGATGTGGGCGGCTGCTGGTAACCATGGAAACCAGTGGAGCTACGCTAACGTTATCCTCTCCAACCCAGCAGAGTTCACAGTCTCTTTCCAGGCGGAGGTGGGGGGGGACATGTGGACGGACATCGCTCTAGACGACCTCTCTTTCACCACAGAGTGCACAGCAGGAGGTCATTTCACAAATGTTAACTTCTTCTGATGTTTCTCTCATTTCCTGTTCCTTCAACACGGCCATCATTTTTCATCTCCTTTCAATTTGCACCTCTTTCTAAACCTCCTCTGGTTCCATTTAAACTGTGGTGAGCCTCAGGATGAGTGTGGAATGGATTATTGAAGCGCTGTAGGTCCATTTGAATCCAGTACCGAGGTGTGACACAGTGTATTAATGAACAAAAATGAACAACCTGAGTCCAAATCGACCAATCAGAATGGAGTATTCCACTTGTAAACAATGTGTAATTCATCTGGAAGATAACAACATGTCCTCCGTGTTTAATCCCTCTCCTCAGGTCCGGTGACCCCCCAGCCCTCGACCTGTTCTGGGGACCAGTACCAGTGCTTGTTCTCCCCTCAGTGCATCCCAGAGAGCTGGAGGTGTGATGGAGAGCTGGACTGTGGGGATCAGTCTGATGAAGACGAGTGTCCGGCGGTGGTTCCCGGCACTCTTCCTCCTCAGGGTCAGTGTGAAGACGGACAGTTCCAGTGTTTAAACGCTGTGTGTCTGCCGTCCGTCCTGCGCTGTGACGGCGTCTCCGACTGTCCACACGGAGAGGACGAGAACAGCTGCCGTGAGGAATTATATATATTTATTGTACCTTTTTCTTACAATATTTAGTCCACTTACTTTCATAGTCCCTGGATCAGAGTCCTCCTTTGAAACCATCTCCTAGCAAGCAATAAGAGAGACCTTTGAAATGTGTATTATTTTACTTAATTTCCTTTATGTCACGTGCAGCATGTTCACAAAGCACATGTGTCTGTAGATAATCAGAGGACGCCTCTCTTATATCTCACCCTCTCTCTGTTTCTCTCCCCCAGCGGTGCTGCAGTGCATGCTGGGAGAGCTGCAGTGTGAGACTGGTTCTGGTTGTATTCCTTTCCAGAAACGCTGTGATGGATCTGCAGACTGTCAGCCGTTCCTCTCTGATGAGTCCAGCTGCCACGGTAACACACTTTCACACACCTTCACTTCCTGTTATTAACCACGGTCCAATTTCCACATCCAGTTACAAGACTGGCTTCAGAGATTCATGACTTTTATTTGAAATCATTCACAGCTACTGTTAGAAAGATCTCCCTGGTCCCCGGCTTGAGCATCAATCTCAGGATCCATGTGTTTCTGATCCTCTCCAGAATGGAAGTAGTCATCTCATACAGAGCATTTGTTGGCTTTTTTCTGAAAATCTAAAAATTCAGATTTCTTTTCAAAAACTTACAATTCTGACTTTTTCTCAAAATCAAAACATTCTGACATTTTTCTCAAAATGTTGACATTTTTCTCAAAATCTAAAAATCCTGACTTTTTTCAAAAAATTCTCAAAATTCTGACTTTTTCTCAAAATTCTGACTTTTTCTCAAAATCTCAAAATTCGGACTTTTTCTGAATACTACGTTAATAATCCCTCGTCCCCGGCTTGAGTTTCAATCTCAGGATCCATGTGTTTCTGATCCTCTCCAGAATGGAAGTAGTCATCACATACAGAGCATCAACTAGTTCCTGAACAGTGTCCTTCACATGCTGATATCCAAGAGAGGGAGTTACACAGTCACAAGATGGAGGAATAGAAAGCAGTATTCAATGTTTACTTCAGATTAGCTCCACGTCAGAAATGAGCATGCTTGTCATATGTCTCTCTCCATAGAGGCTGAATCATCATGTTAATCACATAGCTATCATATGCCTCAAACAGTCCTGATGCTCTTCTAGGTAATCAGACATCCTGTCATGTTCACAGCTACAGTTGGGATACCTTTGTTATCATGTTGCTCTCAGATTAGAAGAGGACATTCAGTATTTTCCCAACTGCTGGTTCAAATGCATTGGTTTTGCTTTTCCATTTAGTACACACCTTCTCCATTTCCCTCTCTATCACACACTCAGTTTTGCCGTTCGTGTGTGCTCATTTTCAGCCTCATGGTTTCTACCTTTTCAAACCTTTTCCCAGTAAAAGACATTCTGCCAGAGCTCCTTTATCACCAGGCCTCTCAAGGTGATATCTAATCAGGCAGGGAGGACTATTCTCCATCTCTCCATCCGATGTGCAGCAATGGGAGGAAATAGATGTTTTTGAGTGGTTTAATGTGCTCTGGAGAGGTTAATGGATGGTTCCCTTGGTAACAGCATTTCGTCTCAGGGTGGAAACATGAGGGTCTGCTTCCTGTCAGGAGAAGCATGAAGACTGAAGACAGGGAAACACACTTCATATATGTTCGTACAGATTAAATGACGCAGGTTTCATCAGAGTGGGTTGGTGCTGAGGTGCAAGTCTTTCCTTAATGATGGGAGGGTTAATGACCCTAAACACACACATGTTATATACAGTAACTATTGTCATCTTAACTTCAGTGTGTCTGTCTAACTACATGTCTTTGTACTGCTAGATATCCTTTAGATAGATGGATAGATAGATAGATAGATAGATAGAGAGATAGAGAGATAGATAGATAGATAGATAGATAGAGAGAGAGATAGATAGATAGATAGATAGAGAGAGAGATAGATAGATAGATAGATAGAGAGATAGAGAGATAGAGAGATAGATAGATAGATAGATAGAGAGAGAGATAGATAGATAGATAGAGAGATAGATAGATAGATAGATAGATAGATAGATAGATAGATAGATAGATAAATAGAGATAGATAGATAGATAGATAGATAGATAGATAGAGAGAGAGATAGATAGATAGATAGATAGAGAGATAGAGAGATAGAGAGATAGATAGATAGATAGATAGATAGAGAGAGAGATAGATAGATAGATAGAGAGATAGAGAGATAGATAGATAGATAGATAGATAGATAGATAGATAGATAGATAGATAGATAGAGAGATAGATAGATAGATAGATAGATAAATAGAGAGATAGATAGATAGATAGATAGATAGAGAGATAGATAGATAGATAGATAGAGAGATAGATAGATAGATAGATAGAGAGATAGAGAGATAGAGGGATAGATGGATAGATGGATAGATGGATAGATAGATAGATAGATAGAGAGAGAGATAGATGGATAGACAGATGGATAGATAGAGAGAGAGATAGATAGATAGATGGATAGATAGATAGATGGATAGATAGATAGATAGATGGATAGACAGATGGATAGATGGATAGATAGATAGATAGATGGATAGATAGATAGATAGATGGATGGATGGATGGATGGATAGATAGATGGATAGATAGATAGATAGATGGATAGACAGATGGATAGATAGAGAGAGAGATAGATAGATAGATAGATAGATAGATAGATGGATGGATGGATGGATGGATGGATAGATGGATGGATACTTTATTAATCCCAAATTAGGAAATGATGTTGTTACAGGACCATTGTGCATTACCAGTCTGCTTGCAGAGTAAACAATCCTGATACGACACACTTCTTTATCTGCAGAATGTCCCCCTCTGTTCTGCCTGGATCACGGCTCCTGCTCCGTGTGGGGAAACGGACCTGTTTGCATGTAAGCTCTCACACACACATTTTAAAATCTCATAAACATGCACCAACAAAGTCCTGTCTGTTCCCCCGCTGCCTCCTCCCATCTCTCTTCGTAAGACTTTCAAACGTGGAAATCCCATCAGTCCTGTTTCTCTCCTTGGAAAAAGACACGCTCCATGAAGCATGAGGGAATCTGTTTATCCCTCAGATTACCCAGCAGCACAGAGGATCCCCCCGGTCAATATTTAAACGCATGATCCTGGAGGATAGACCACAGAACCCTCCAGCTAACACTCAGCACGAGGCTTTAGAGGAGGCTTATAGTGGTTGGAAAGTTCACAAGGAGATAGTTCGGAATAAAAGTGAGAATGCAGTTATGAGACGTCATTTTGCAAAATCCGTTTCTCCATCTTAGTAACACCAGCACACTGCTCCTTGTACTCCGATGGGTTCAATACAGAGGTTACATTTAGCTGTGTGACAAATAAAGAAGGTTTCATCCTTTCAAATCCACTCCCAGTGAACCTGAGAATAAAGTGTTGGTCCGTTCAGATGCTGGTGTTACCCTCACTCGCCCATATCATTACTAACAACAATCTGTGTGGTTTTATAACAAGACCAGCAAGCTATATGTCTTTTGCACAAACCTGAAATGGAAGTAGTGTAAGGCCTACGGACATTACATTGGTCTAAATACAGAGGTGCCTGTGTTTGCAGCGAAGCAGGAATATCTGTAATGTGGAGATATGTCCATGTTCTTATTCATCCTCCTTCTGTCTGATCCCTTCTCTCCTGATGTCCAACCCTCCCCAAAGCCTCCAGCTCTGCCTCCTCATGATATGACAGGACTACAGTCAGTGTATGGAGCCTCTGTTCCAGCGGTGATAACATCCTCAGACCCCCTGGGAAGCTTTGTGAGGACAGGAGTCTCTCAACATGTCCCCTGAAGCCTCTGCATGATAATGACTGACAGTGTGTTTCCCATTAGAAGCTCAATGTCGCAGAGACGCAGAGCAGATGTGGAGACTGGGAGTAGATTGTAGGAGAACAGGACGTTGTTTCTGTCCCAGAGATGTTGTTACGTGCTTTATGCCAAGATGTTTGTTTTAATGTGAGAGAAAACGTGTTTGTAAAAGCAATTTATTTATATTTGTATTGTATTTATTGACTTAATTTCCAAACAGCTAATTTTTTTCCTGCTTTTATTGCTTTACCATCTTCATAAGGTCGAGGCCAGATGTATATATTTTTTTAATTTTAATTCAACAAATCCAATGATTGATATCACTAGTTCCTTGTTCCTCCTTAGCAACGGTCTGTTCTCCTTAGCAACAGTCTATTATCCTTGGCAACAGTCTGTTATCCTTAGCAACTGTCTGTTATCCTTAGCAACAGTATGTTCTCCTTGGCAACAGTCTGTTATCCTTAGCAACAGTCTGTTCTCCTTAGCAACAGTATGTTCTCCTTAGCAACAGTCTGTTATCCTTGGCAACAGTATGTTCTCCTTGGCAACAGTCTGTTATCCTTAGCAACAGTATGTTCTCCTTAGCAACAGTCTGTTATTCTTAGCAACAGTATGTTCTCCTTGGCAACAGTCTGTTATCCTTGGCAACAGTCTGTTATCCTTAGCAACAGTATGTTCTCCTTAGCAACAGTCTGTTATTCTTAGCAATGGTCTGTTATCAAAAAATAGCATACTGTATCGAATCCTGTATTCAGCCTTATAATTAAAAATGGTGAAATATCTACACTTGTAGAGCTTCTGCAAACCTAATTATGGAACAAACTTGACCAAACCTACTTAATATAGCGATAAGAGGTACTTTATTGATAACAATTTGGGATTTTTTGCTTTGTAGCAGCATAAAAAACAACAAAACAAAACAAGGCATTGCACATAAGTAGAAATTAAAGAGTATAAACAATACTAGAATTGAAACATATGTGATACACTACGTCTGCTTAATTTATTCATAGAATCATTGTCATGTTGTCTCACCATCACACCTTCCTCTCTTTTCCTTCCTCCTGTTGTCAGGTGTTTTCCAGGCTGGACAGGAAACCGCTGCCATGTGAAGGAGAAACCGGTGTTATCTACCGTGACTCCTGAACCAGAGGACACCCAGCTGGGTAATAAAGACCAGGAAGCTCCGCTCTATAAAGCTGTCTCTGGATTTATCTACTGGCTGCCCTGTTAATGAAATATCTCTCCGTCTTGTTTAGTCTCTGTTTATGTTGGCATCGGCATCGGGCTGCTGCTGCTCGTCGCTGGATTCTCCGTCTGCACGCTGGTTTACCTCAAGAAAAGATGCTGCCTAACGTGAGTTCTTTACAGAGAAGAGTACACACATCCTTTACTCAAGTAGTAGTACTGATACTCGTGTTTAAAAATAGTAAAAGTAGAAGTACTGACTAAACTTCTTTACTCAAGTCAAAGTAAAGAGGCTTTGAAATGTACTTCAGTAGAAAGTACCCATAACTAGCAGCTGTTTTAAAGAGTACCTGACCTCCCTTTATATTAATAGAACAATAATGTCATTGTTAGCTAATGAATGTTTCCATGCTGAACAACGGCAACATGACAACGTTTCCATTGGTCCCTCTTCTTTAGAGAAGACCAGGAAATGATGGATACACGGATCGTGTTCAAATCAATAGGCACGCAATGACTCTAAATAATAATGATCACGCCACCAAACACACATTCAAACTAAAGGAACCAGCTGTTTGGGAAATGTGAGAAGTAGAAAGTACAGGTATTTGGGTTCAACATGTAAGAAGTAGAAAGTACAGGTATTTGTGTTCAACATGTAAGAAGTAGAAAGTACAGGTATTTGAGTTCAACATGTAAGAAGTAGAAAGTACAGGTATTTGTGTTCAACATGTAAGAAGTAGAAAGTACAGGTATTTGTGTTCAAAGTGTAAGAAGTAGAAAGTACAGGTATTTGTGTTCAACATGTAAGAAGTAGAAAGTACAGGTATTTGTGTTCAACATGTAAGAAGTAGAAAGTACAGGTATTTGTGTTCAACATGTAAGAAGTAGAAAGTACAGGTATTTGGGTTCAAAATGTAAGAAGTCAAAGTAAAAAGTCATCAGAAAAATAAGTAGTGGAGTAAAGTACTGATACCAGAAAAATGTACTTAAGTACAGTAACAAAGTATTTGTACTCCACTACTTCCCACCTCTGGTTCTTGATAGCATAATATCATGTTACTGGTGGTGATGCTGTCGATGATACGTCTTATTTTCTCCACAGAAAGCCAAAGAACTACGGCGTGATGGATAACGAAAGCTGTGATTGGAGAGCAGAGGTCAGAGAATCGTCCAATCAGTCATCAGCACATTCAGTCCTGACAACATGAGGTTTTTCTCTGCTTCACAAAATCTAATTTCTCCACCCAGCGCCCCGCACAAATTCAATAAGAGGCTGTAACAGTGCAGGAGGTCACGAGCCGTTCTGCTGGAGCACATCTCTGATTTAGAGTTATTGATTTCTGGGGATTTTGGTGTTTCTGTGTGTGATTTACACCGTTTACACACTGTAGTGCACAACGAGCAGGACCTCCAGACATCCAACACAGCTCAATGATGCACACTGGGACACAAAGGGGACTTCAAGGCGTGTATACGTTTCAAATACATTTTGAAAACACAGAAACACATCACTGCAAAGTCTAATAAGTGATGCATCTGCAAAAACTACATTATTTAAGGTGCATTAAACATAACACAACAACACTTCTGCTTTCAATGAACCTTCCTTAACACACTGACACGTTAGTCCATATTAGCTAGGAGATTATTTCACACGATACAATTGACAATTAACCAATAAAACTACGATAACAATGCGAAATAAATCTCATATCTGCTCTCCTGCTTCTTAATGACACTTACACATATATTATACCTCGGTGTCACTACTCGTATACATCTTTTCACCACTTTAGCTCACTTGAAAACATAGAAACATCTTTGCCAAGTGGCTGCATATCAACTCGGTCTATTATGTGCTGCATCTGCAAAAATGACATTCTTTAAGGTGCATTCAACATCAAATATAAAAATAATATGCTTGCAATAAACCTGCTAAACACACTAACAGATGATATTCAGCACACATACACACTTCTACACTACTTCTATACATCTTTTTACCACTTTAGCTCACCTGAAAACACAGAAACACATCACTGCAAAGTGTTTGCTGTCTGCTAGCAACAAATAGCAGACATCTCGAAGGTCCAAATTGACCAATCAGCATCGTGTATTCACCTAAGCTGTGTAAACAATGTGTTATTATGCCACCTCTGGAAGATTATGAAATACTTAACGAAGGTCAGATGTGAAACTAAGGAGGCCTTACCAGTCTGCTTGCATATTATGACTTCTTGCATGTCAGGCTTATGTGTCACTAACTGTGTTTCCCTCAGCTCTCGTGCCATGATAGATCCAGTTGTTGTCCAGGAGTTAATATCCCCAGCAGAAGGGACATTCGGGGGCTTTCCATCAGCGTTTACCCCTGGAGGAAGGAGGTGGAGGTGGAGGTAAAGTGTTCTGCTCCACCTTTTAGGACTTATATTACTCTTCTGTGCAGAAAACGGTGACATGATGTGTTTCTGATTGTGTCTCATAGCAGGGTTCCTCTAAGCTGTCCTTCGCCAACCCGCTGTACGATCACCCTCCTGAGGGCAAGAGCTCTAAAGCATAACAACAAAAGGACTTTATAAGACACTGCAGAGGATCCGGGTCCATTGAGTTTATCTTGAACCTGCTGAAGAAGAATGTGAATCCTGCTGCATTGCTTTTGCTGATTTACAACACAATTATTCATTAATAGTGTGAAAGAGTGTGAAAATAAAAATGTCTGCACACTAATGTATGACTGTTGTGTTTAAATTGTGTCCAATATCAATTCATTTAGTCTAAAAACAGGTGAGTTGTGATTTTCTGCAGGACTTTAGAGGATAAAACCTGTTTGTGAATTAGCATATTTCACAAAACGACCACAACACTGGTGTTTGTGCAGAAAGTAGACAAATACAAACCTAGCAGGATGCAAGTTAATAAAGGCCTTAGAAACAAATACAAACCCCATGTTGTGCACTTTATCAACATGTGGCTCTAATTTGCAGGATGTATTGTGAGTGCACGGTAATAAAAGGTTTTCTAAAGTGAACACATCCAGTTCCCTGAGCAGAAAGACTCCACTGAACACACACAGCTTCTAAAGTGAGTCCCGACTTCATTAGCAATCCTTTTTAATCCCTGTAAGTGCAAATAAAAGACTTTGCCCCTGCTTTACTTGCAAATTAATATCCATTGCCAGGCAGCTGAACTAACTCTGAGACTCTGTATCAACCGGCGCTGAGCAGATGGCTCGTAAAAAGCTCAGTTAAACCGGTCCGTTATAAATTTGACATGCTCTGGAGGTTTTCCGCTATGTCTCATCGGAGCCGCCATAAATGACCTTCTCTTGTCTGACAGTTTACAGGCTGATTTACAAGAGCAGGCCATGTTCTGTGTAGTTAAATATGTCAAAAAAGGAACATATATATGAAGATAGACAACCAGTTAGCTTAGCATAGAGAGCAAGGCTAGCTTTTTCCACTTGTTTTTTAGTATCTATGCTTAACAACTAGTAGCCAGTTAGCTTAGCATAGAGAGCCAGGCTAGCTTTTTCCCCTTGTTTCAGTATGGTGAACAGCTAGCAGCCAGTTAGCTTAGCATAGAGAGCCAGGCTAGCTCTTTTTACTTGTTTCCAGTATGCTAAACAGTAAGCAGATAGTTAGCTTAGCATAAAGAACCAGACTATAGCTCTTTTCACCTGTTTTCAGTATCTATGCTAAACAGTTAACAGATAGTTAGCTTAGCATAGAGAGCCACAGCTCTTTCCCCCTGTTTTCAGTATCTATGCTAAGCAATGAGCAGATAGTTAGCTTAGCATATATAGCCAGGCTAGCTCTTTTCACTTGTTTTCAGTATCAATGCTAAACAGCAAGCAACTAATTAGCTTAGCATATAGAGCCTCGCTAGCTCTTTCCACCTGTTTTCATTATTTATGGGGAACAAATAGCAGCCAGTTAGCTTAGCATATATAGCCAGGCTAGCTTTTTTCACCTGTTTTCAGTATGCTAAACGGTTAGCAGATAGTTGTGTTATAGTCACGACATTTAATCTATTGATTCGTGTTCACCAACACGATTTTCCCATTTTTTTCGTGTCACACAGAACGATTTTAAAAGCAATGTATTTCTATTGGTAGTATGTTTCGTGCCTGCACCACGTCTTTTTGTCCGGTCCGGTCTTGGCAGACCGGAAGCTGTGTGGTTCATAAAAACATGTTCTTACTCAATATCAAGCCACAATTATTGTTTTTATTTTAAATCGTATAATGTCTGACTTGTTTTGCCGTCCGCGAGGAAAATAAATGGGGCTCAGAGCCTCAAAATATTGAAATCTGTATTTTTTTAATATTTTGTTCCTTCTAATTTGTTATTATTTGGTGCAGGCACGAAACATACTACCAATAGAAATACATTGCATTTAAAATCGTTCTGTGTGACACGAAAAAAATGGGGAAATCGTATTGGTGAACACGAATCAATAGATTAAATGTCGTGACTATAACACGAAATGCCGTGAGACTGGGTTGTTTCATAACAACTGGCTGCCAGCTGTTTAGCATAGATTCAGAAAACAAGGGGAAGCAGCTAGCCTGGATCTGTCCCAAGTCAAAAAGAAAAGCTATCATCAGTTGATATTTAATTCTAGGCAGAAAGTGAAAAATCCATTATGCAATCTCGTCTAAAATCCTATTAGGCATTATAATTATATCCAGTGTTGCATAAAGATTGTCTCCACTGAATTATTTCATGTTGTTGCTCCTTATTGGATTTTCAGGACATTTGAGAACCTGATGCTTCACCATTGCATTGTGGTAATAAACTCACATATCACACTGATATCTTCCACTGCATTAAATACATTTAGATTAAACCAATAAAAACCTGTGGAGCGTGGGATTAGCATTTCAAGCCCTACTGATTAGCCCAAAATGTTTAATACTATCATTCTTTCACTGCTTTATTCGTCCATGTATCCATCTTTATAATCTAATATTTATAAAATACCTGCAGGGCAGCTACAAATACTGAGACATTTGTTATCAACTAAGCCCGAATAAGAAGAATTTTGACTTTTGTGTCTTTCCAATTTATAATACTGATGTCAGGTATTTCAGTTTGCGTGTGATTGAGGGCTCTGAAGGCGCTGCACTTAGTCACATCAAAACACTCCCGTTGCTTCATATCGGTTCAACTTTGAGTCATGAATCTTTAATATTCAGGTGGTGGACGAACACCTTCTCCATGTGTCATTTCAGTTTACTCTGGTTCTCCATCACCGTGGAGCTCTGCTGAGTCTGGAGGTGGGTCCTGGGTTCTCCATCACCGTGGAGCTCTGCTGAGTCTGGAGGTGGGTCCTGGGTCACAGATTTATCAAACACAAGATCAATGGCAGCCTTTTAGCTGCTCCATTGTTTAAAGTTTGAGCCCTCACTTCATTTCTTTCAACGCCTTTTCCTCTGACATGCTAAGCCTAGACTCTTTCTGCCCTACAAACCCACATGAAGCAGAACAACTACACACACATATCCACAGCCACTCAAAGCTGAAGTTACATTAATTTGAAGACTGTTTTTGTACGTATTGGTTTTATCACCATTTGGTTAAACGCATGTTATTTTTTCAGCTTTAGCGCTAGCCGAATAAAAAAAAAGAAGAATGTTATTGTTTTTATTAAATGTGTAATAACTCTGTAGTGTCTCTTATAGCGTGGATATAGTTGCTTTGACAAACTCTCAAAATCAGCTGTGCTATGTGTGACGGCCCCTAGGCCTAGACTCAAGTCCCTGGTTAGCCACTCCCCCAATCAGGAGAGATGGCTGACACCTGATTTAGGTTGACAGCTCAGCTACAAGTATGGGTGCCTGAGCAGTCAGTCTATGGGTGTTTCTCAATGTCGAGGAAGGCTGCTCAAGGGCCACTATTTCAAGTATACTACGTCATCGAGTGGCGCCGAATGCTGGGCATTTAACATGCATTTAAACAGTCCTTCGGTGCCACTCGATGACGTAGTATACTTGAAATAGTGGCTCTGCAGCAGGTATACTCGACATTGAGAAACGGCCAGTCTCTCTCTCTCCTCTTGAGTTGCTTGGCTCGACTGGATCTTGGTTTTGTCTTTGCTTTATATACTGATACATGTTCACACACCCACACACTACTGATTAACTGACTTCATAATTAAAGGTGGGGTAAATTTGAGAAACCGGCTCGAGATACACTTTTTGTTATATTCCATGGAATGCTCTTAACATCCCGATAGCAATGAATATCTGAAGTGCTTTGACAACAAATCCATAAAAAAGTATCATCAGTGGAAGCTGTAGTACTGTAAAAAGCACGACCAATCATCTGAGCCGGCCCGGCTAAAGTAACTGGATGGCCTACCTGCCTGTCAGCCTTCCATGGGTGTTTCTCAATCTCGAGTAAAGCTGCTTCAGAGCCACTATTTCAAGCATACTACGTCATCGAGTGGCGCCGTAGTACTGTTCCAATGTCCAGCATACTTGGAAATCTACCGAGCCCGGCGTACCTCGTTTGGAGAAATTTCGAGGCTGCACATGTGTAGACTCCACGGTCTTAAAATCCCCACAATGCTTTGCGCACGGACCAATTTAGGCCCCGCCTTACAAAAATGTAAGGCGGGGCCTCTCATATGACGCACACCTGCACACTTGCTAGCCTGTTCCACTCTTTGTTTTCCGAATGCCAGGAAGTATTCTTGCCTCGCTTCTGAAGCAAGACGCTCGGAAGACATGTGCTACCAAGCAAGCGTACTCGACATTGAGAAACACCCCATCTGTGCACAAACTTATCTCGTGCCCTCATTGGTCATGTGCGCGTTCGTGTGTGTTGGAGGAGGGGCTCTGTAAGGAAGTGGAAGATTTTTTCCGGCTTTCTAGCGCACTCGAGCTGGTTTCTCCAAAATTACCTACCCCACCTTTAACTTAGTTTCTTTAAATAAATATACTTGAATTGGACATGAATGATGTGTGGTCTCCTTCTTTTGTCCGTCCTTGAGCCAGGGCGTGACATATACTTTATAAGCTAGCTATCCTTATCTATCTTACTTAGCTTAAGTTAGCTATTATTCCACAAACTAACTAACTAACGGTTTAACTAGCTATTTGAATTACAGCTCTAAACATCGCTGTACATTCCCAATTATGCATTAACTAATCCCATATTGGTAATCTCTCAATGGTTAAAAGGTAGGAATATGTTTTTATTTTATCATTATAATTTTTTTATTCCCTTTCTTGAATTTGTATTTTAATGTATTTGTTATCCCTGACGAATATTACGCTATTGTGGAATTGTCTTTTATTGACAGATTATTATTATTATTTCAATACTATTTTACTCCTTTGTAAACAGAAAAAGTGGAAAGCATGTTAAATACAAATATGTATACATATTTTTATACATATTTGTATTTTTGTATTCGGGATTGTGGGAAACAGTATTTCGATCTCTCTGTCTGTACCTATATACAGTCTATGGTCTGTACACACAAACTGAAAGTTGACTTTGACTTGATGTTGTTAGCTTTTCGTGACCTGTGTTCCTAATCAAATGGGTAGAGGGTGAAGATAAAGGCTCTCTCTCTCTCCGAAACAGCAGCTCAGCGTTTTCCCAGCCTCTGCATCAATGTGTGTTTGTCTCAACCCTGTGACATCTGATCTGACTAAACTACAATCAACGGCTGACACGAAAAAACCCTCTTCTCCACTAACAG